CTTCCTGGATTGTGACAAACATTTTGTGGAGCCCAGAGCACAAACCCAAGAAATGCAGTGTTCGATCTGTTTTTAAGGAGAGATTTTCCAGTGCTTTCAGGTCTGTGTCTCTTCTACAAAGCCATGCTTTGAACATCCCATGGACCTAGTGCAGACAGGTGCCTCTGTCATGGGCTATGGAGAAAGACACCTTTGCAGCAGGTTAGACCTGGGGGAGTTAGACCAGGAAACAGAAATAGGAGCAGGGTTCACCTGACTTCTAACCTGATCTCCCAGGAACAACCTGCCAGCATCACTTCTGTCCAGGTCAGTGTCCCACAGGGAACTCAGATGCTGAAGGTCTGGGTATGAGGCAGGGAGGGGCCTAATAAGCAGGTTCAGGGAGCTGTAAATACCTCCTCTGCTGCTGTCCCTCAGACTGTGCAACCCTGGTCTAGAAGGAGCCTGGTTGTTGCTTTCAGAGTCCTGAGTCTGGCTCAGGGACCCATGCGTCCCTCCTTCCTGCTGTCTTGTCTGGAACAGAGCTTCAGTTTCCATCATCCACCACCCAGGGAAGAATTTGGGCTTCCATACTGAGACCATCCTCTCAGAGATTCCATGCAGGTGAGCCCGAGAGCCTGGCCTACACAGCAGGAGGAGTCCAAAGAAATGGAAGCAGAGAGTGTTTGCCTAAGGTCAAACATTTATCCCCCATTTAGAGGAGATACTGAGAGACACTGAGTTCATTTGCTTGCACTTTGTTTGTTGAATTTGTTTATTCTGATGCTAGAAAGGTAATGAACTATTAGGCTATGCAGGGCAGGGGCATGGCTGGTGGCGAAATGCTGGTGTGGGAATGTCAAGTCTAAGACCGACTGAGAAAATAAATTGCTTCAAGAAGAATAGAATGGCGTCCAAGAAAAGCTGTCTTTAAATGACTTAGAGGAGGGGAAATGACATGGTCCTGGGGCAGCATCACCAGACTCAACCATCACTCTCCCCAATTTTGTTTTTTTAAGGTTCATTTACTGTTTTATATATTTCTTTAATTTTTATTAATTGAAAGAATACATTTCATGTATTTCATTCTTGAGAGCCAGAGTTGCAGAGAGACAAAGAGATATTCTGAGAGAGAGAGATTTTTCCACTTGCCAATTCACTCCCCAAATGACCACGGCAGCCAGGGCTGAGCCAGGCTGAATCCAGGAGCCAGGAACTCCATCTGGGCTTCACACATGGACGCTGGGGCCATGGACCTGAGCCACGTTCTGTGGCTTTTCCAGGCCCATTAGCAGGGAGCTTGGACCAGAAGCAGAGCAGCAAGAATAGGAACCTGCATCCAAATGGGACACCAGCATTGCAAGAAGCACCTTAGGCTGCTGCACCATCGTGCCAGCTGCGAGAGGTTATTTTAAAGGGGAACACGTTTGGAGGCTTCCCTGTTGGTGAGAAAGGAGCAGATAAGGGCAATGCATGCACACATGACCCTGCAGTAGGAGCTCCTGAGACACGCACACTTCTCAGTGTCTTCCCTTACACCAAGCACTCCCTTGGAATGTGTCTGATGAATCATTAAAAGAGGAAAGGAAGTTAAAGGGGTCTACTTTGCTGTCTGTCTACTTTGTTATCTGTGAGATGGATGCACTCACGGCTTTCTCAGCTTGCTTTCCTCTGCTGGGCAAATCCTGTGCCGGCCCAAGTCCCCTGGCCCCTTTATGTTTTTTTTTTTTTTTTGATTTTTTTTTTTATCTTTTATTTAATGAATATAAATTTCCAAAGTACGTCTCATGGGTTACAATGGCTTTCCCCCCCATACCGTCCCTCCCACCCACCACCCTCCCCTTTCCCACTCCCTCTCCCCTTCCATTCACATCAAGATTCATTTTCGATTATCTTAGTATACAGAAGATCAGCTTAGTATACCTTAAGTAAGGATTTCAACAGTTTGTTCCCACACAGAAACATAAAGTGAAAAATAATAGATGATTTTTTTTTTAAATGATGATGAAATCAGATCAGACCTATTGTCATGTTTAATCCCAGTGAGAGTCAAGTTGGGAATTGATAGTTTCTTTTCTTTTTTTTTTTTTTTTAACAGAAGATCAGTTTAGTGTACATTAAGTAAAGATTTCAACAGTTTGCACCCCCATAGAAACACAAAGTGAAATATACTGTTTGAGTACTCGTTATAGCGTTAAGCCTCAGTGTACAGCACATTAAGGACAGAGATCCTACATGAGGAGTAAGTGCACAGTGACTCCTGTTGTTGACTTTACAAATTGACACTCCTGTTTATGGCATCAGTAATCTCCCTATGCACCAGTCATGAGTTTCCAAGGCTATGGAAGCCCTCTGAGTTCTCCGACTCTTATCTTGTTTAGACAAGGTCATAGTCAAAGTGGAGGTTCTCTCCTCCCTTCAGAGAAAGGCACCTCCCTCTTTGAAGACCTGTTCTTTCCACTGGGATCTCACTCACAGAGATCTTTTTGCCAGAGTGTCTTGGCTTTCCATGCCTGAAATACTCTCATGGGCTTTTCAGCCAGATCCGAGTGCCTTTAGGGCTGATTCTGAGGCCAGAGTGCTATTTAGGACATCTGCCATTCTATGAGTCTGCTGAGTATCTCACTTCCCATGTTGGATCACTCTCCCCTTTATTTATTCTATCGGTTAGTGTTAGCAGATACTAGACTTGTTTATGTGCTCCCTTTGACTCTTAGTCCTTTCATTATGATCAATTGTGAACTGAAATTGATCACTTGGAATAGTGAGATGGCATTGGCACATGCCACCTTGATGGGATTGAATTGGAATCCCCTAGTATGTTTCCAACTCTACCAATTGGGGCAAGTCATCCCGAGCATGCCCCAAATTATACATCTCTTCCCTCTCTTATTCCCACTCTTATGTTTAACAGGGATCACATTTCAGTCAAATTTCAACACTTAAGAATAACTGTGTGATAATTACAGAATTAAACCAGTCATATTAAGTAGAACAGACAAAAAAAAAAAATACTATGAGGGATAATGTATTAAGTTGTCCATTAGCAGTCAGGGCTATGCTGATCAAGTCACCATTTCTCATAGTGTCCCTTTCACTTCAGGAGGTTTCCTTTTTGGTGTTCAGTCAGTTGTCACCGATCAGGGAGAACATATGGTATTTGTCCCTTTGGGACTGGCTTACTTCACTCAGCATGATGTGTTCCAGATTCCTCCATTTTGTTGCAAATGACTGGATTTCGTTGTTTCTTACTGCGGTATAGTATTCTAAAGAATACATATCCCATAATTTCTTTATCCAGTCTACCATTGATGTCTGCCCTTTATTTTTAAGCATCCAAGTCTATTTTATTCTTGTCCTTTGTAGACTCATTCATGCAAAGAATGGACTTTTCCTCACAGCCTTTCTGTTGCTACTGATTGTATTTACATGCATATCAGTATACTTCAAAGGGTTTCTAGAAAAAGGGAACTCAAGGATGATGCTACTGTGGTGCAAAAATAGATTTGAAATCCAGAGCTCAGCAAAGTTATCCATGTTTACAAGCGGTCTCCAATGTGTGAAAAATGTGTCATGTGCAAAAGCTGTGTGCCAAAGTAAATGTATCTTCATTTCCACTTTTATGACTGTTCTGTTTCTTTAAAAGATTTTACTTACGTTAGTAAAATCCAAAATTCTCAGGTGTACAGCCTAAGGAATGTTTCTGTGTGTAGACAACCATGTAGGCACAGCTGTAACAGAGGATAAACACACTCTGACTTCAATAACTGTGGACTAATTTCACTCATTCGCATAAGGCTTCTTTCCTTCAACATAATGTTTTTGAGATTCACACTCATTTCATGAACGTTTTGAAGGAGCCTTGTAGCTATATTAAGATAGAGAGGTTGCAACAGTTTGCAAGCTTTCTATTCCAAGTATCAGTCTCTTTGGTTTATTCAAATTCCTTGCCTTTAAGTCTTGTTAGTCACTCTGATAACTTTGCATTGCTAAGTTGTTTTTAGACTTGTTGTCAAAACCACTGCTCCTCTTAGTTTCATGTGATTAGATCACTAACTACAAGTCACAGCTGCTCCTGTCCTCATTTGAAACACACGGTCGTTCACCATTTCACTAAGATTGCTTTATCTTCTAGAAGCCAACCTGAAGGCACGTACATCTATACAAGATGAAATCAGAGCTTCCAAGCCTCCTACCTCTCAGCTGAAAAGACTTCATGGTGTCATTCTCTTTCCAAGTGTCTGTCAGTTCGCTGGTGCATTAATGACTTTTTTTTACCATGAAAATACATTTTTTTAAAAAAGTTTTCAGGTATTATACACAAAAGCAAACAAGTTTATCTTAAAAAATATCAAGTATCACATCCATAGCCTATTCCTAATTATAATTATTTCTTAAAGCAACATTTGTCTTTGTTTACAAATACAGCAGCAGGTGATAAACCTAACATCTCCAAACAGATTCTTACACTTCATAATACAAATGTATATGTCTCAAATCACATTTTAGGCAATTTAACTTAAAATGCATAGACAATTACATACATTAAATTTGTTAAGTCAATGAAAAATCACAAGACTTCTGTAATGTCATTTCTAGACTACGAGCCTCTTAAGGACAGGATTCTCTTTCATCTGTATTTCTGGCATCTGGTGTAGCACCTAATGACTATTTTCAATGTCACTGAGTTATCACTCTTGTTCTATTTTAATTTTTTGTGTACTGTGTCTTTTGTTTCATTGGTCAGTCTGGGATTAACATTCAATGATCTGGACATTAGTCCCTAATTCATGCTGACTGCAGCTTTTTCTTCCATGAGCAACAAGGAGACACAGCCAGGGTTAGGGTCCTGCAGATACAGGGGATGATCTTCTTCCCAGCCCCTCAGGAACCCCCTGCTAATGTTGGATCTTGGTTTCCCTCGTGTCCCCTTCAATTCTCTCATCCTCTCTTCCTCTAGCACTCTCTCTCTTTCTCTCTCTCATGTTATTTGTCTCTTTCCTAGCAGTGACTTGTACCACATGCAACCAGACAACGAAACTCAACCTTCAGAATTCCTTCTCCTGGGATTCTCAGAGGACCCAGCACTGCAGCCCCTCATATTTGGGCTCTTCCTCTCCATGTACCTGGTCACTGTGGCTGGGAACCTGCTCATCATCCTGGCCATCCTCTCAGACCCCCACCTCCACACGCCCATGTACTTCTTCCTCTCCAACCTGTCCTTGGTGGACATCTGCTTCACCTCCACCACCATCCCCAAGATGCTGGTGAACATCCAGACGCAGAGCAAAGCCATCAGCTATGCAGGCTGCATCACCCAGATGTTCTTCTTCCTGCTTTTTGCAGGGCTGGACAACTTTCTCCTGGCCGTGATGGCCTATGACAGGTTTGTGGCCATCTGTCACCCCCTGCACTACATGGCCATCATGAACCCCAGGCTCTGTATGCATCTGGTCCTGATGTCCTGGATCATCAGTGTCCTGCATGCCTTGTTGCACAGCCTAATGGTGCTGCAGCTGTCTTTCTGTGCAAACCTGGAAATTGCACAGTTTTTCTGTGAGCTGAGTCAGGTGATCCACACCTCCTGTTCTGACACTTTTCTTAATGATGTGTTGCTATTTCTTGCAGCAATGCTCCTTGGTGGAGGTCCCCTGGCTGGGATCCTGTACTCCTACTCTAAGATCGTCTCCTCCATCTGTGCAATCCCCTCAGCTCAGGGGAAGCATAAAGCATTCTCCACCTGTGCCTCTCACCTCTCTGTCGTCTCCTTATTTTATGGAACGGGCATAGGTGTGTACCTCAGTGCTGGTGCAGCCCCCAGCACAGCCTCTAGTGCCACAGCCTCTGTGATGTACACGGTGGTCACCCCCATGCTGAACCCCTTCATCTACAGCCTGAGGAACACAGACATCAAAAGAGCTTTGAAAGGAATCTTTGCCCAGAAACTATAAAGTAGTCCATTGAGATGGGGCTGAAGATGTGTCTATGACTGCAGGGCCCCGAGCTCCAGAGCCACACACTGAGAAGATTTACCAGATGTGGAAGTAGAACGTGCTTATCCCATTCACTGCAGTGTTTTTCTTTCTTTTCTTTCTTTTTTAAGTCAACTGTTGTGTCAAAAAGGACTCATCCATTACACTTTATGTTACCTGTGACATCTAACAAAAACGTCTTATGTCACTTTCCTTTCCCCCAGTTTTATTACCAACTTTGTCAAGTAAGCAAAAGAGCTTCAGACTTTTCATGGAAACATGGAAGCAAGAGAAGAGTTAGTTTCTGTGCTAAGCAACTTGGAAATTCATGTGTGGTTCTTATACCACACTAGCCCATGAACTGTGTGAAGTATTGAACATTTCCACATGCCTTATGCTACAATGTGTATGTATCTTTTAGGAATGATTTCATGTCAAATAACATGTATAATGTTCAATAGTCTCCTTTTTAACTTCATAGTTTTTTGAGATAACATATGTTTATTTTACATTGCAAAGACTTCATGTTCTATGCTAATTCTGTGTATACCTATGCTTGGCAATTAAATCCAATCATATAATTTTTAGGATTTTATTTATTTGAGAAATAAAGTTATAGACAGAGGGAGAGACAAAGAGAAAGGACTTCCATCTACTGGTTCATTCCACAAATGGATGCAATGGCCAGAGCTGGGCTGATCTGAAGCCAGGAGCCAGGAGCTCCCTCTGGATCTCCAACATGGTTACGGGGGCCCAAGCACTTGGACCGTCTTTCACTGCTTTCCCCAGCCATAGCAGAGATCTGGATCAGAAGTGGAGCATCCAGGACACAAACTAGCACCCATATGGGATGCCAGCACCACAGGCAGAGGCTTAGCCTACTATGTCACAGTGCCAGCTCCTATTTATATGATTTTAAAGTAGAACGAATCCTCAAAGCAAACTTTACTTTTTTGTCCCTGCTATTCCTGAAAATACTCTTCCCCAATCACCACCTCTGGACCATGCAGATGATAGCACTAGTGAAGCGTGTAAACTGAGTCTCTACTACTCCAATATATTCCGCCACTGTCTTATAACCAGGTAGAATCTCCAAGGAAAGACAAATGGCAATATAGATTGCTTTGACATGGGTGATAGTCAGAGACAACCTTCAATTTAGGAAGCAAGGTTTTCAATCATAGGTGTTATCATAAAGCAATGATATTTTTTAAACTTTTATTTAGTAAATATAAATTTCCAAAGTACAGTTTATGGATTACAATGGCTTTCTCTCCCCCATAACTTCCCTCTCACCCACATCCCTCCCATCTCCCACTCCCTCTCCCCTTCCATTCACATCAAGATTCATTTTCAATTGTCTTTATATACAGAAGATCGATTTAGTATATATTAAGTAAAGATTTCATCAGTTTGCACCCACACAGAAACACAAAGTGTAAAATACTGTTTCAGTACTAGTTATAGCATTAATTCACATTGGAAAACACATTAAGGACAGATGTACCACATGAGGAGTAAGTACACAGTGACTCCTGTTGTTGACTTAACAATTTGACACTCTTGTTTATGGAGTCAGTAATCTCCCTAGGCTTTTGTCATGAGTTGCCAAGGCTATGGAAGCCTTTTGAGTTCGCCGACTTTGACCTTATTTATACAAGGCCATAGTCAAAGTGGAAGTTTTCTCCTCCCTTCAGAGAAAGGTACCTCCTTCTTTGATGGCCCGTTCTTTCTACTGGGATCTCACTCACAGAGATCTTTCATTTAGGTCCTCTTATTTTTTTCATACTTGCCCCAAATGGTGGAGTTAGAAATGTGCCAGGGGATTCCAATACAATCCCATCAAAGTGGCATGTATCAATGCCATCTCACTAGTCCGAGTGATCAATTTCAGTTCACAATTGATCACACTGATAGGTCTAAGAGTCAAAGGGATCACACAAACAGGACTAATGTCTGCTAATACTAACTGATAGAATAAAAAAGGGAGAGAACGATCCAACATGGGAAACAGGATACACAGCAGACTCATAGAATGGCAGATGTCCTAAACAGCACTCTGGCCTCAGAATCAGCCCTTAAGGCATTCAGATCTGGCTGAAGAGCCCATGAGAGTATTTTAGGCATGGAAAGCCAAGACACTCTGGCAAAAAAAAAGAGAGAGAGCAATGATATTTCATTGTCAGGTGCACAAGGGCATATGACAGGGTGTGGTCATCAACCAGGTGAAGGGGGTCTGATTGTTGGGTGAAGGCTTGGTTGCTTTTATGTTTTGCTTCATTGAATTGACACCTTGCCTGCACTAAAGGAAGCATTGCTCCTTTTTCTGCAGTAGGAACATCCAAGGGAATGGTGTGAATGGACGTCAACACTATCCACTCCACTCCATTTCTCCTTCATTCCCAGGAATCTCTCCAGCGAGGACTTTCAGAGACCTTGAACCACCATCCATCACATGCATCAGGGTCACACATCTTCTTGTTCAAAGGCACATGCTCTGTCAATGCTTCTGACTCCCTAGAGGGCAGCTTCAACATGCTGACTTGGGAAACACCAGATGTGAAGTGAACTTGAACAGCAATTACACGTCAATGTTGTCTCCCAATATGCGAACCAATGCCAAAAACAAGATGCATCAGATGATTGCCATCTCTTTCTGTTCCATCCCCTCGGGTTATTGTACACATTAGGCTTTCTTGAAAATAAACCATCCTGAAATAAAGTCATTTAATAAAACAACTCTTTATAGAGTAGAACAGGGCTATAGGGAGTTGCTATGAAGCTCAGCTTCTACTGATTCTGCACTTGACTGTGAGATTCTCTGTCATCACTCTGAGGCTCATCCATGATTCTATGTGTAGCTATAGTGGTTTTCTCTCAGCCTTTCTGTCCTGGGACTGTTGTGGGCCAGGTTGGGCCTGAATCTCCAGTCCAGACACCTGCCTTTTATTGAGAGAAGAATTCTAAGTGCAGGCACAAACACGACGTGCATGCAGTGTGATAAGTTTTATTTGTGGAGTAAGAAGAAGGCACAGGGACATGAGCACCTTATTAAGGGAGAGTAGGCCAGGAAGTGTAGAGAGTGGGCCATGCCAGTCTTCCCTTGGTGTGAGAGCCCCCTCCCCTCCACCGGAATGAGCTTTGTAATGGGGAGTGGTTACATAGTATTGCCCCCAGGTCCCAGGTAAGGGGAGAGGCCATCTTGTTGACAGGTGGGTTGACTGGATTACATGGGAGTGGGGGAGGTCTGGCTTCCAGCTCATGAACTTCATCTATCTCCCTGACTTTTCCCATATCAGGGTGCCACCTGTTCCTCCGGCCTGGGTGAGACCTGTGCCATTTGCCGTGAAATTCTCATACAGGTGTCAATGCCTGTGTGCTACCTGGAACCTCCATGATTGAGTTAAATTCACATCTTTATGGTACATATATTCAGATATTTCCTTATAATGCCCATGTGTACATCACTTTAACATCTCTATCAAAACAAATCACCCTACTCATGATTTAGGATAAATAAATTGGTGATCTTACAAGTCCAGGGCTCAGAAGCATGGAGTGGGTTCTCCTTGGGCCAAAAGGACAGAGTTTCTCAACATGCATTGCTTCTGGGGGTTCCACAGTGAAACCCATTTCCTCTCCTATTCCAGCTCTTGGTGACCAAGTGCAGTCCTGGGTTCTCTGCCCATCTTTGAGGCCAGTAGGGCAGCACCTACCAGTCTCTCCCCAAGTCCAAGTCTGTACCTTCCTCTTCCAGGTCTAGAGAACAACTGTGATCCCACCAGTCCCTCCTGGATAATCTAGAATCATCTTTTCATTGATCAGTAACTTAAATCTACCCCCAGTACACCATCTGCCATGGAAGCTAACACATTCACACCACACTCAATTTAAAGAACAATATAATGGTGTTTTTAGGGAGCATTTATTTTGCCTACTTATTTATTTATTTATTTATTTATTTTGACAGGCAGAATGGACAGTGAGAGAGAGAGAGAGAGAAAGGTCTTCCTTTGCCGTTGGTTCACCTTCCAATGGCCTCCGTGGCCGGCGCATCTCACTGATCTGAAGCCAGGAGCCAGGTGCTTCTCCTGGTCTCCCATGTAGGAGCAGGGCCCAAATACTTGGGCCATCCTCCACTGCACTCCCAGGCCATAGCAGAGAGCTGGCCTGGAAGAGGGGCAACCGGGACAGAATCTGGCGACCCGACCGGGACTAGAACCTGGTGTGCCAGCACTGCAGGCGGAGGATTAGCCTACTGAGCCATGGCACCAGCTTATTTTGCCTACATTTTGGATATGCAGTGTTTGATGTCACCTGGAGCACATTGGTAAAACAGACCAACGCAGCATTTGTCACAGCTCTGCAGTGAGTGAATGCATTTTTTTCTTCAAAATTTTATGCAAAGACATTCTTCTGGTGCAGTCCTGAAATTACCTACACTTGACATCAAGGGTGGATCACAGCCTTGACCTACAATCCCTTAAGAGACAAAGATGGCTGGCGCCGCGGCTCACTAGGCTAATCCTCTGCCTTGCAGCGCCAGCACACCAGGTTCTAGTCCCAGTCGGGGTGCCAGATTCTGTCCCGGTTGCCCCTCTTCCAGGCCAGCTCTCTGCTGTGGCCAGGGAGTGCAGTGGAGGATGGCCCAAGTGCTTGGGCCCTGCACCCCATGGGAGACCAGGAGAAGCACCTGGCTCCTGCCATCGGATTGGCGCTGTGCGCCGGCCGCGGCACCCATTGGAGGGTGAACCAACGGCAAAAGGAAGACCTTTCTCTCTGTCTCTCTCACTGTCCACTCTGCCTGTCAAAAAAAAAAAGAGAGAGAGAGAGAGACAAGGATGTACATCAACAACTCCATATGAAGATTTAGTAGAAGTGAGAGGATGTTGGATAATCCCACACACAAAAAAAATGACAACTGTCTGACATAATACCTAAGCCATTTTCTTTATCAGAGCCTTGCATGTTGGGTATGA